ATCAAAAAACGTGTTCAATGGCATTAAAACGAGAAAAAACGCGGCTGAATCGGTTAATCCATAGGTTGATAAAGTTCCTGGGCAATAATTGGAATTATTTATAATCCATAATTCCATTTTTATGTAAATATCGCAGAGCAAAAGTTAGCTGCTAATGGTAGCCACCAGAGTGGCTGCTGCTTCCGGTCTTGGCTATGCGGCAGTATAATACACACACATGACCAAATAAGGACTATGTGGGAGTTCCCCTCGATTCCATTGGCTCTGACGGTTAGAAAGAGATGTCACATGTCAAAATCCAGCAGGGGGAGCCAGAGATATGAAAAATCCACCCAAATGGCCCCAGAAGAGTTTTTTTTTTGCGAAATCTGTCTAAAAAAGTAAAATATCACTTGTTTTGCATCAATCTTGATACAGGGTACTTATTATATGTTTTACTTTGGATTCCTAAAGCTTTTAGTCTACTAACCCATCATCCACGGTTAGTTTTCACTATAAGTACAAAATATGTTTTGGACGGACACTATAATTTACAGTTTTTTACCATGTTCAATCTGAATTTTCTTTAAAATAAAAAACATCTATATTGAATCTGACTTTTCTACATCCAACTGACAGGTTTATCATTACTTTGAGAAAAAATATTATTAATTAAACCCTTTTAGAAGGGAAGATATGGTCATTTGTTCTGGGAATGTCATTTTCGAGCCTGAAACCTGAAAAACAGGCTCGGGGTTTAACAGGTTAAAGCTACTTCTGTAGGAGAACATTTTCGACTTTAGCAACCCCCAGTGGTACTACCGGAAAAGACAGTGGGGCACATATGCATTTGATTTTATTAGTTGTACTTTATTCGTCCCAACTTGGTAAATTATTTTGTTCAGCAGCATATTAAAACACATTACACATAAACAGTTGAAAGATTTATAAGAAATAATTTACTACTAAAAACCAAAGCATGTAAATATAGGATACATCATTAAAGTTAAAAAGTAGTTTAAATGAACATTTTAATGAATGTGTCTCTTATAAAGACAGCTCGAATCTTTACTAGGATTGTACCATTGCTGAATTCAACTCATAGCTGCATGCAGTGGAAGTTTATCTTTTTACTTCAATGGAGAGAACATGAATAAAACAGACGAGTGTCTGAGGAATTTTAAATATATTTATCAAAGTCACACTTTGCTATATTTCAGTATTTATTTTTATCTGTCTACATTTCTCTTTCAAGTTGGAAATGCCTGCTCTTAGTGTGTCAAGTGCTGGATTTAAAATGAAAAGCTTAAATGTAAATGAAAGCCATGATCTCTCTTCAACATACAGTAAAGCTGATATCCGCTGAGAGGGATTTGATTTGATTTTTCAGTTTCAGACCTGATAGAAATATGTCAGATAGTACAAACGCATAAGCCTCTGTGTGTTGTCTGGCCATTTGTAACGGTTTATCTTGTGCCCACATGCTGTATGTATGGAGAAGATGTACCAAGGTCAAGGAGGGCTTGAAAAGGGATGTTTTCTCTCCTTTTGCTTTTTCAGATTCTGCAGACTTTGAGTCTCTGAGCCAAGAAATCTCTGATGAAGAGAATGAAGAGAGGGAGGAAGAGGAGCAGAAGGCAGAAGAGACAAGTATGGAGGAGGCTTTGAGGAAAGTGACCGAGACTTCTGACCACGGCAGAGAAGATCCCCACAAGCAGAACATTGGGATTCTGGAAGAGAGCCACCACTTGAGTAAGAGACAAGAGACACCTACAACTCACATGCAGTTTACCTTAGGTAGACGAGAAGATTAAAAAGAAATAGTTCAACACATAACAACCCGTTAATACACAACTTGATATTTTGTCATTTACTTTTTTGTACAGATGTGATATCTTATTAAAAGGAAATGGTAGGTGGATTTTTAGACATCATACAGACTCAAAATAGCTGTTTCATCTTGGTTCCATACTTTATGCTAGGCTAAGCTACGTCTCCTGGCTGTTGTTACAAATATAAGACTGATATCTATCTGTTTATCTTATTCTGGGCCAGAAAAACAAACAAAAATGCTTATTTCCTAAAATATTTAGCTAGTTATTTTCCAAAATGTTGAATTATAAATGACCTTGCATGCTGATTAGCCTTTTGGTTTCTCCATCTTGTATCAATGTCTGTTTTACCTTTCTCTCTGCCACTGTCTCTATTATCTGTTTTGTTTTCTGACGCTTGACGTGTGTCCACAGTGGAGCAGAGCAGGGCCCCCCGGCTCAGTATGTCTTCACGCTTCCTGACCAGAAGACATAATAACAGGTACTGTTGACCACTTCAGCCCAGTGTGGATTCACAGCTATAATTACAAACCCATGTGGAATCACGCACACTGCTCTGCTAAACCATGTGTTTACCCTCCTGATCCAGCCAGGCTGTCAGTTTAAATCACATTGTTATCTACTGTGTCTTCCGGCTATTACATTTGGGTAGGAAAATAGTTTTTTGTTCCTAAATGTGTCTACTTTTTATTTGTATTACAAATGATTGTACAACAAGACATTTAACTGTGAACGACTTTGCAATTTATTATAGTTGAACATATTTGAAATGCTTGTTTGCTTTCTTGCAGGGAGTTACATCACTAGATATGTCATATGGTATGCCATTCTCATGTCTGTGTTCTAATTATACAGCTACTATCAGCAGCCAGTTAGCTTAGTTTAGCACAAGCAGTGTAAACAAGGAAAGCGGTCCGAATCTAAACATTTTAATTGTATATTTAGTTTGTTAAATCCGTACAAAAACGGATGTGGGGTCTGTGGCAGAGTATCCTTAACCAGTACCTTCATGGAAGTATTCCGGTTGCCTGGCAACTAGTCCTGCCGATGAAATAATCCAGCACATAACCCTCCCTAAAATTATTATTTTCTTTGCTTTTGTACAGTTAAACAAATGAGATAAGACGTGGTAGAAAGTGAGCTTTAGAGGTGCTGGTAGGCATGGCTAGCTGTTTCCTGTCTTTCTGCTAAACAGTGGTTCTCAAATGGGGGTACACGGGCCCCTAGGGGTACGTTGGAGTACTGCAGGGGGTACGTGAGATTTATTTTATGTTAATGAAAAAAAAAAAAAATAGATAAATATACCAATTTTAGGAAAAGTAAGGAAGTTTGAGCAGTGTGGGTTTTATATTAATAGACTAGAGTTACACATATTTCAAAACGCGTAGTGCAATAACTGCAGTTTGCCTCCCTGTCAGAATGACAAAGATCCTCAGTGAAGCACAAGCCCATGTTTCTCGCTAAATTGTAAGTACAACTTATTAAAAAGATCAGTTCAATGCAACTAATGTCGTCTTAGTGTTATTGCATGATTTTAAAATTGGTTGGCCATGAATTTAGTGATGGATTGTAAACATTTGAAATGTAGCATTTAAGTGTTTCTCAGTTACAATGTTGTTGTTTTAATAAATCAGACAATGATGGTGCAGCGCTGTACTGTACCTCTTTATATAGCCTTTTTCCCCCTAACAAATATTTTTTGCGCTGATCAGGGGGTACTTGGCTGAATATTTTTTTCAAAGGGGGTACATTATTGAAAAAAGTTTGAGAATCACTGCGCTAAGACATGTTAACCTAAGCTAAGCCATTTAGCCTCTGGTTGTTGCTCATATCATATTCCCATTCAACTTTTTGCTAATCAACTGTTACTTAATAATGAAGGATTTATTATCTGACAAATTGTTTTTGTATTTTGTCAATATTTTTTAAATGCCACTCATGACAATAGGTTAAAGTACAAAAAATAATGGTTCGGGCACATTTAGTACAGCAGAGAACAAAAACATTTTGCTTTTATTTTTAATTTATTTCACAAAGACAGTGGAGAAAGAATCACAGACGAACAGAATCCTCTAGCTGGGGACGGAGGTAGCATTTTTTCCTATGACTTTCCCCCCTGTAGCAACCTAAGCTAAGCTAGGAAGTAGCTTCCAATTTAGTGTACAGACATGACAGTGGCATTGATCTTCACCTCTCTGTTTTTCTGCTGATGTACTGTGGGGTAATACCTTGTGTTTTTACCTCACTCACCTCCCTAACCCTGTAATGCTTTCTCTCTATGTAGGAGCATGCCTCTCTTTGCCAATTTGCACGATAAGGAACAATGCAGCCGCTTTGCTAAGCCCCCAGTGTCAAAAGTGCGACCCTTGATGGAAGATAGCCGGAGCAGAAACATGGAATACAAAACCCCTGGCAGGATCGAAGGGCAAAAGTAAGAAGAAAACACGGACCAGGAGCTCCATGGGGTTTATTTTTAGACAAATGCTACTTTGGCAGACTTAGATTAATGAATCATAAATGTGAAAGATAACAAAAAAAGCACAAAATGTTCTCTGCGAAAAATAATCATTTTAAACATTAATAAGTGGAGGTCACACTAGGCTTATATGTTACCATCAGTACATTTTCTGACACTCATGCTATTACTAAGAGATACGTCATTGATAAAGATAAACAACAGCAGGGGGAAACTCTTAATCGAACACTTATTATTTACTACAGTGCAGTTACAGACACAAAAGGATAACAACATTTTATTTTTCTTTAGTGATCTTCCAGCTGCTGTGTTGCCTCTCAGCAAGGCAGATTCTCCTGTCCTCAGACCCATGAAGAGGAGAAAGACTTCATTGTCCAACCTGTGGAGGATGTCCAACCAACCCTCTAAAGCTCCACTGATGCCGGACTCAGCCACATGTTTACAGAAATCACACTCTGTCCAGGACCTCGCCTCCGACCGTGAGTTTCATCAACAATGTTTAAATGTATTGCTATGCATTTTCTGCCATTTCTGTAATTTTCCAGTTAGATTTACAACCAGCTCCATTGCCTCCATTAGTTGTACATTGTGAGACAGCTAAACATGCAGCAAGAGTGCATTTACATTAGTTGAATGGGGATTTTCTGTAAAGAAGTTCCTCTGATTTTGGATTATAACCTGGAATTGCCAATTATACATTTAAGTGATGTTAAAATATTTTTCATTTGATGTTAACTTTTTGTACAATTTAATTAAATGTGCCTCTAATTGTCAAAACAAATCTTCACTCTTTTTTTTTTTCTAGCTCCTCGCTCCCCTGTGCCCTCTAGTGACCCTATTGAGTTGCGCAAGAGACTTCAGCAGCTTGTCCTGGATCAAGACAATCCCCAGCCTTCCTCCCACCTTTCCTCCCCCTCCTCTGGGTCCCCTCGGTCTCTCGACTCCCCCCTGCCCTGGGATAGCCCTAAACTCAAGTCCCCAAACTCCTACATGAAGCCCACCGCCAGCTCCAAGGCCAAAGGTAGCCGCTCCAACTCGCTGGGGGACGTCAGGCAGACGGGCTCTCCACCTTGCTCTCCGTCCCCGCTCGGGGTCAGGAGGTCGCGTGGGGCGATGGAAACTGGATCCCCCTTGGCCATCTCGTCCCCCGTCACCAGTTTCTCCTTTAATATCTCATCAACATCATCCCTTGCAGCCTTTCCTCTATCAAACAGTCCCCCCCCAACTCCCACAGAGGCAGTTTCACCCTCTCCTTTTACTCAGAACTTACCGCCAACACGCATCCCGCTTCCCAGACAGCCTCTCAGCCCTCGCCGCAGCTTCTGCTTCGATGGGACTCAAGTGAGGGCTTTTACACCTTCCGTACACCCAGAAGGGGACGTCACACCTACTCCAGGAAACAGAGGTTAGTCAGCCAGCCAAATGCTGTATATATGGCGCATAAATTCCAAAGTAAGGCACTTAAAAATAGATTAAACCGGGTATTTTGTCTATTTCTCTTCAGGACTGGGCAAGAGATTCTCTAAGTGTCTAAGTTTGGATCCTTCTTTGCAAAGTTTACTACCAGTGAGGCAGAAGAGAGACTCAGTTTCAGAGAGGTATGTTTGTTCACACCTTTTCTAAACATTTAGCTGCATTTTCATTGAGAATTTATTTTAAACGGACGACTTTTGGCATTTCTCTTCACAGTGCTAAAGAGCCATCACAGGTGGCCGTGGCCAGAGAGTGCCCTCTGGTGCCCGAACAGGTCCACACATCCATCGCTGATCCCAAGCCAGGTCTTTCTTCACAGAACTCTTTTATCAACCTGTCCGTCGCCACCGTTCCTCCTCTTCATCACTGCGTCTCTTCACACTGCTCGCCCTCTGCCTTCAGGCCTGTCTGTCTGTCTCACGTTCCTCTGCCTGTCTCTGTCTCCTCCTGCTGTCAGCACTGTGAATACTCTGGTGAGTCCGCAGAGGAAAGGTCGTTGAAGTAGTGTTCATTTTGTTTTCCATGAGTAAGACAAGGCAAGGTGTTCCAGGTTGCGGATTGGCTCTCATATCAATTCAGAAAAGCAAAGCTGCAGTCTTAATTAGGCAACTTGTGTTTTTCTTCAGATGCTGATACGATTGTATGTAAATTAAGTGTCACAGTAGACAAGTTAAACCTGAAAATGAGCATAATATGGCCCCTTTAAAATGCTTAGACTTTTAGTCAACAAAAACTTGACAAAAAATAAAACAGGATAAGTTGACTGAATATAATAACAACCTACAAGGACATTTGACAAAGGAATTAAATCAACGCTGGTAGGAAATGTTGAATTCCACTCTTTTGTTTGAATTAAAAACGTCACCTGCTATGTTATGTTATCATGAAACCCGTTAGTTAAGACTTTTTGCAGCAGGCTTGATAATCCCATTGAACACAATCACACTGAATTAACATCAAAACAGCTGACTGGATAAACATAAACATATTCACACTTCATCATAGGACAGACCTTTTTTCTTTTACTCCTCATGACCTCCTCTAATTGAAACATTTATTTTGATGATAATACAGTAATTTCCCATTATTTAACTTTCTGCTTTGATATTTAGAGCCTCAGTTATCTAAAGCACTACTGCTGATAGCTTTGCCTCATATTGTTCATCTCACACAAGTATCTTGAGATGGATCTTAAAATAACTCCTCCATCCTGTGCATGCCTGCTGTTCTGTGGATGATAACTGCCTCACAAAGGCAACAGATTTCATTTCAATTTCATAACACAGAAACCATAAATGAAATTTAGCGATATCCAGTCCACATTTCATACCTACAACTGTGCTTTGCCGGAGGATATAAACTGTGAAAATCATTTTTCTCGGTTCCACCGCTCACAAAGCTCCCGTCTCTTCCTTTGTACTGCTGCCTCCTCGAGTGTTTCTTTTTATCTGTAGCGTTTTTTCTGATACCAACTTTTCCTTGCTTCTTATACCTTTTTCTCAACACTTACTGTGTGCCTACTTTGCTCGATAACTGTGTGTTTGTGTGCGTACGCTGTACAGTATGCATGTCTCTGTGAACTCTCAGATTTACCTCCTGCTGCTCTCTCCTCAGATCACTCCATCACCTTGGAAACCTGTAGGCAGGCTGTTACAGAGCTCCACAACAGTCTGAGGAAAATCGCCATGCTCTACACTACGGTCAGTCAGTGTGTGTGTGTGTGTGTGTGTGTGTGTATGAGAGCGTGTGAAAATTAGAATGAGAGCCTGATATCATTTATATATTTGAAAGAGATAGAGGATAAAAGGGGAATACATAGAGATAATTTCTTGCATACTTCATGCCTGTTAAAGCTGCCACTTTCAAATTACTCTTATAGTCATGAATTGCATATTTGAATAGATATTACTGTTGATATGTGTGTTATTTCAAAGAATCCATTATCTCTTTTTGATGCACCATTTTGTCTCAGTCAACTTGTCTTTATAGATGCTGTTCTTTTTACATTTAATCTGGTGGTAGAATCCATTCATTATTTATTATAGAGGGGAAACACTAAGTCCATTAATGCATCGGACATCAACAGACACTGCAAAACCTATTTTCTTTTAATGCACAAAATTACATTTTCTGTCTTTTAACTTGTGATAATGTACAGTGCTAATTAGTCTAATATGATAGGAATCTAAATATTCAAAGATTTGGGTCGAAACAAGCAACTTGGGTTTCGTAATGCACATACAGTATTTAAAGGTCCCATGTCATGCTTTTCCGGTTATTACCCGTCCCCTTGTGTGTTATGAAGGTTTTTATACATGTAAACGGTCTGCAGAGTCAAAACAAAAGTACACCCTGTAGCGAGTAAAACTCTAACACAGAAAATACCTCCTCAAAACGCCTCGTTGGAGATACTTCACTGTCCATTGATTCTTCCGGGTACCGCATGATGTCATGCGTTACCCGGAACTAAATGGACCAATCCGTGGAGCTGTTACGTTACGTCCGCGGAGCCGTTACGTTAAGCCCCCGCTGATTGGCCCAAATTGACCAATCCACGGACTTCCTCACACACGCACTCAGTGCAGGCAGCTCTGCTGATCTCTCCTCCCTGGCTGCAGGCTGATAACAGACAGTTGGGATCGTGGCGAAATTCTCTCTGCAGACCCATTCTCACAGCGTTTATCAACCTTTTTCTTACTCAAGATCAAGCCACACTTATTGTTTTTACTTCGGCTGTGACTTTGTGTGTGCTCAGGGTGAGTTTGGCTGTGTTTCGCTGTCTCGCTAAACAAGGAAACCACACCTCCACGGAGCTCAGCGCGATTCACAACGTCCCGACCAATCAGAGCACACTGTGCTCACAGGGAGGGTGGGGGCTGGAGCTATTGGAGCTACAACGAGCCGTTAAAGGCAGAGAGTGAAATTCAGTGAATACACGTAGTTTACATGCTGTATGAGAAACCAAAGTGATTTTGGAAAATTGCACAATATAAATCTATTCTAGTAGACCTCAACAATGGAATTATGATCAGTGGAAATGGCCATGACATGGGACCTTTAAGGCTTCAGCTTTAAAAAAAAAAAACTATATATAATAATAATAATTTCCTGTATTGATGGTTTAATAAAAAATGACCCATGTATGAGAAGTCGAAGATGGCGTTTTCAAGTGTCTTTTTTCAGTCCTAAAAGTCCTACCACAAACAAATAAGTCCAACTCGTAATTATATTTAAATCATGACACAAGAAACATAACAGTTTTGAGAAGCAGGAACCAGAACATGTCATATTAATTAAAGGAACATTTATTAAAAAAATCAAACAATGTATAGTCATCCCTCTCAATCATCACTTATGACCCACTAAAAGTGCTTGGTGGTGTGTGTAGCTGCAGAGACCCTGCAGCCTGTTTCTTTTGTTCCCGTGTTCGGGACATTCCTGGCCATCAAACTATAAAAAAATGAGTGACCAGATGCCAGATCATAAGCATTCATCCACAATGAAGCTATACAAATGTTGTACGCAGCACCTGAAAAATACAAATATAGCTAGGAAAACCTGTTCTTAGGAGAAAATGCGTTCCAACCGATGGAGAGCATCTTAACCAGCTTTCAGTCTGTGTGTGCTTTTTGTGTTGTGCTTATTATGTCTTACAAACTGTGACCCACATAGTAATCAACTGATAATCAAACTGTCTGTTTTTCACCAGATGCTACAATGCGACCAGCAGCCCGGTGAAGATCAAACAGAGATGAGGGGCATCCTGTCTAAGGCCCTGTTCAAGGTCAAGGCTGAGCTGGACTCTTTATCTCCCCCCTCCTCTCAGAGTGAAGGGCCCCCTGTGGACCAGGGGGTCAAAGGCGAAGGAGACAGAACCCTGGCCCTGCTGGAGCAGTACGCTGAGCTGCTGCTGAAGTCTGTAGAGAGGAGACTGGACACTAAGACGTGAGGACTGGAGATGATGCCAGGTGTATGTACTGTACGCTCATATAGCCCACTGTGAACCGCACACTTGTTTTTTGCACAGAGATCTTTTTCAAACTTTATTTATTGGCTGAATGCAGATAGGATGTGATTATATATTTGGAGAAACTGAGTTAATGAATGCTGAATGAGTATTGTACACTGAGTAATAAAAAGTTGCCTTATTCATATAAATTCCAAGTTTCAATTACTCTTCTTTTTCTGTTTTCTGCTTTTTACAATCAAAGTGTAATGAATCATATTTGTTACAAAGGGAGACACAAAAGGACAAATATGATAGAGTAACATGGAAAGCACAGGTAGTTTATGGATGTTAAATGCATTTGGGCCACATAATTCATCGGGGCTTTTTAAATTATTCCTTTTTAAATCGTTATGTATTGGTACCGGAATAAAAAGTCCCATTAGCACCCCCTAGAGGCTGCACGGTTCAATATTTCATGCCAAAACAAACAAACATTAAACAAACAATTACCAACAATGAACTAATTAGGCTCTAATAATGAAATATAACAGTTGTTTTAGGGTGGCTTACAGCGAGTAACAATCAAATCAAAAATATCAAAGTGCAACTATCATGCTATTTTTAGGTAATAGCATAGGTCTCAGATATATAAAAATATATAAAAAGACATGTCTACAGTATGAAGTGTTTTGCTCAAAATACCAAACAGATCACCCATTCTAGCCATGCCTCATATCCCTCTATTTCATTTCCTGTTTCAAAAGTGCTGATTTGGGGTATAAAGCTTTTTTAAAAAAAAAGAATTGATAAATAAAAAAGGAGGGGGCTGAGCTCATGCGGGACCCGGCAGCTACTGTCTTAACTAAATACTGCGGTGATGAAACGCCATATCATGGATTATCAAGGATTATTTCTGAAACAGTATGGAGCTCAAAGGCTTTCTCTCTTGCCGGTTATACCACAAGGCGAGTTCCTTTTTATTTCCTGCTTCTTCACACACATGCTCTCCAGTACAGGTTAAGCTCTGAGTGTTAGCGATGCTAATGTAAACACCGATCCATTACGTCCAAAACAGTCGGCATTGTTTCTGATAAGCAACTTTCTGATAGTGCCGTGGGTCCACATTTCCAATATTACGTCATATCGGATGCAAATCTGGATCAGCTCCATTGTAGCCCCGTTTTTAGAGATTTGGGTACGGAGGAAAAGAGAGGGTTTTATTTTCTGACGCTGCATGAGTTCCCTGACACACCGGGGACACATATTTATTAGGGTGCATTCACACCTAATAGTCCGTTTTCTACAGACCACAGTTTGTTACATTGTTTCATTTTTCAGAAGGTTCGGTTTGCGTTCACACGGGCAAAACTCAAACGGACTCTAAACTTTAAACACAAGTCATGTGCTCGGAAATGCTGTTCAACCATTGGTCAGACATTAAGGGGGTAAAAACGCAAATCCCGGCAATTTCTACCGGAGCCTCCGCCATGGAGCATCGGCACTTTCGGCAGGTTATTCTCATGCTGCTGTTAATCTGGAGATCAACAGACACTAGCGGCCCGCTATAGTCAGATAACGTCCGTTAAAAAACATATAATGAGAGACGTTCTGCAATAAGGAGGGGCGTTTCACCGACTACAGGTGTTCTTACTTTTATGTAGCTGACGGAGAATTTTTACTTTACACGACACTGTTCAACACTTAATTCTGCTTCACTCTTTCACTAAACAACCGCGGATGTCTTGAAAGACTCTTTCGCTCAAGATTTTGAAGATATCCGCGTTCTTGTGACACGTAAATACTACGCTTCCTATGTTTTGGTGCGGACTGCGTTCACACCAGCAATGAACCGCTCCAGAGTTCGCAAGCAAGCGCTCCGAGACCACCTATTCTAGCGGACCAGAGTCCGGTTGTTTAGTTCACTTAAGAGGTCTCGGGCTGTGTTCACACCGACCCAAATGAACCGCACCAAGCGGCTAAACCATAGACTGTATATATAAAGGCTAAACGCACCAGGGTTCAATTCAACCGGACTATACAAGGCAGGTGTGAATGCACCCTAAAAAACATCAAAAAGTGCATTTTGCATGATAGGTCCCCTTTAAAGTTCCAGGTTGTTCTCAGAAATGTTCATGGAATAATTGAATTAGGAGATATGGTTTCATGCCTGCAACATTCATATTAAGGCTAACGGAGTACACAAGTTCATAAAGTTTCCAAAATATAAAGGGTTCATCCTCTGGGGAACAGGAACATGGTCCTTTCTTTACTCTTTTACTAAAAGCTTTGCACAATTTGATACTTGGCTGGAAGTAAATCCGGCCAGCTATAGAGACATTTTGGGAGATAGTTGTGATGGATGATGTTTAAGTAGGAGGTTATTGGAAGATAAGGTGTGAGGAGTGAGATGGTTATATAATAAGGAATAAGGTAAGTGTTAGATGAAACACCTGGGAAGATATTTTGTAAGGTTGTGTAAATAATTTGCTATCGGTGTCTCCCTAAGATCAGGGTACTTTAGCCATAATTAATTCCTTTATATATACCATGAGTAGTCTATGATAAGTCTGAGAGTTTTGCAAGTTTTATTATGGCTGATTTTAATGTTGGACTAATAAATACAGTTCTCTGAAATAGGTTTTTTCATCAAACCTTTGGACTGTTCTTCTTTATCCTCTCGTCAAAAATGAACAATGAAAACACTGAACTAGACTTCGTAATGATAATTTTATATCTAAATATTAACACAGATCATTTATATTATATTAAAACATATATTACTCAGTTAGTAGAAATATAATTTTATAAAAGTATTGTAAACAATAAAACAGTTTCATTTACAAAGAGAAAAAGTAAGCTTTGTGTATCAAATGGTTATCTTTTAAGAAAGTAGCATCAACAACTCATGTCATTATTAATAAAACACAATATAATCAAACACTTATTTCAAGCTTAATGATACACAAATCATTTAGCTCCAAGATGTAGATAAAGATGAAGCCTACACACCACACATGTTGAGTAATAGTGCGCTGCCTCCTATGGAAGCGTCTCCACGTTGACGTAGGTGAGGACCACATCGTGCAGGATGTTGATCCTGTTGATCTGGTTGAGTTCGAGGACTCTGTGTCGAAACTCAAACAGAGGGATGTTGTTCACCGCCACCCTGAACGCCTCAGGGGTGCACAGGATCTTCATCTGGAACAGGGCACAACAAGAGATATCTACTCCATAAAGTGGATTACATGTGGTGCACATTTAGAAAAAAGTCTATTTAATCATGGTAAACCTTAACTTGAGCCCCCTGAAAAAAATATGTTAGGATGAATTAATGTGCAAAATGTAAATGTTCTAATTGAAAAATGCAAACTGACTATAGTTGTTATTGCTGTGAGTACACATTGCCCGTAATGCATAACTGTTATTGATGTTATAGAGCGACATGAGACCCACACTGACCTCCAGGAGTCTTCCGGTCTCCCTTATCTAGGAACTGCTTGCACACATGTCTTTCCAACCCTTTCCATCTTTTCCAAACGTTAGCCTGATGTTAACCATGAGAAAGTGACCTAGAGTCAGTTACCATGTGTAGCATTTTGGAACATCAACATGTCATTGTAAAAGTCTTACCACAAACAAATGGTTAAAAGGATTAGTAATCTTTTATGATAAATAGCAGCACGCTGACAGTTCAGTTTCCTCAAACCAATGTGGGGATGATCTATTCACGTTAACATGCTACACATAGCAGCTTTAAAGGGACAGTTCACCCCAAAATCTAGTGTTTTTTTTATCAATGAAGATTGTTTTGATGTGAGTTTTGCAGGTATTGATGGTAAAGATGTCTGCTTTTCCTCGGATATTTTAACCAGTAGGATCTCCGCTTGTGATATAGCACCACAGGTAAGAGAAAAATATAACTTTTTTTTTGGTGAAACTGTCTCTTTAAGCACAACTTTTCAAATCTACTTCCTGGTCTCAGTCCTCTTTGTAACACTCACCTCGAATGGGCTCCCCAAAGCGAAGGGAAAGGGCCCCTTCAGCTCCCTCTCCTCGGGGCCCCAGCGCTCACCCAGTTTGTGGTTACGGACCAACACCTGTTTGCCCCCCTCACTGAAGCGGGGGTTGATGTGGAAGGCAATGTGGTTGCCCTTCAGAAAGTTCACTGTGAACCTGTAGTAGAGCAGAGTCATTGATAGTGTGTCGTTTGTATGTCATTCACTAACTGGTCAGATCTGTATATTTTGTAAGGATTGTTTTTTTTCGGTCAATTCAGGCTATTTCGATTCCATGAAGCCTCTTACACACCAAACTGACACCAAAGAACACGTCCCGACGGAACGTCGCCTCACGTCTACTGCGTCTTGGCAGGGCCGTCCCTGGCCAACTTGAGGCCCCACACAAAGTTAGACGATGAGGCCCTCTGTTTCACGGTGCCGCGCTACACTAATTGCACTGCATTTGCGGCTCAGTTGCGGCTCCCTCCGCGAGGTGAGGCCCCACGCAGTCTGCATGATCTTCCTTTAGGGAGGGACGGCCCTGCGTCTTGGCCATGTTTCGCACTGGAACACATCGCAAAGACTTCAGCCGACGACCAAGTAGCACGTACGAACTGCGCATGTGTGAGTGGCAATAACTCTCCTTACCAGCAGCTGGCGGTAGTGTGTATTCGTCATTCAAAAGAGGCAACCGGAAGACAGACTGCGTGATAATAACCGAGAGAAGAAGAACAGACTGCGATATAAACAAACAACAAATAGCGTGTGCATTCCATTTTCACTCTACAGCGAGAAGCTCATGGGGCTTTCCAGAACCTGTGTCGAGAGCTGGAGTTCAATGAAATCTCAGATTTGCCTTCTTAATAGTTTGTTTGGGTCCCTCACTTCCGTTTCGCTTCTCATGCACTGATTCGCTAAGCTGAACAGCCAATCAGAGTGATTTCTTTGGCCAACAGCCTACCGATTCAACATGTC